ACTCCTCTTACATTTTATTCAGCAGCCTAATCATCTTTTGGGAGATGGTTGGTGGGGTCATGTAGATGTGCAGTAAGGTTCTGGAATTTCGATTTTGCCCTGGGGGATCAAATGGGGGTCGAAAAATGACATTTTTTATGCCAAAATCTCCATCTTCCCTGAACTCCTCTTACATTTTATTCAGCAGCCTAATCATCTTTTGGGAGATGGTTGGTGGGGTCATGCAGATGTGCAGTTAGCTTTCGGAGTTTTGATTTTGCCCCGGGGGGTCAAATAAGGGTCGAAAAATGATGTTTTTTATTGAAAAAGCCCCATCTTCCCTGAACTCCTCTTACATTTTATTCAGCATCCTAATCATCTTTGGGAGATGGTTGGTTGGGTCATGTAGATGTGCAGTTAGGTTTCGGAATTTTGATTTTGCCCGGGGGGTCAAATGAGGGTTGAAAAATGGCGTTTTTTATGGAAAAAGCCCAGTCTTCCCTAAACTCCTTTTTTGTTTGAAACAGTGGTCTTATCATCTTTTGGGAGAGTTCACTCTTTTGAAATTTTGTTAAAACATCAAGGTCAAGGGGTAAAAAATCATAGCATGTTGGGAGCCTCTTGTTATGGGTAATGTTCACTTGAAATGTGAAAGTCAAATCTCTTCTCAATGAAAAGGAAATACAACATTAATGAAAACTAAGTTAAACTTCAAGGTCAAGGTCACAGAGTCAAAAAGTCATGATACATTTTGGAAGGTCTTATCACAGGTAATATGAATGCCCTTTCATTTATCTTTCAAAATGATCAATTCAAAGTAATTAATTTTTTTAAGGAAATTAGGTCAAACTTCAAGATCATGGGTAAGAAAATCATAGTGTATGTAGAATGGTATTGTCCTATTTAATACTAATACACATGTTTAATATAAAAGTCCTATCTCTTCTCATTCAAAATATATGACCATGATGACCAAGGTTAAATTTATTGTGACAGATGGGCAGATTGACAAACAAATGAGATTTAATGTACCCTACCTTTAGCAAAAATGGGGACAATAAATGTCTTTGCTGTTCTTGAGAAGAAGATTTATGTTGGAACAAGATGTGTTTGTGAAACACTACACGCCCAGTGGCAACAAAGTTTAAAAAATATTCTTTTAGCATATTGATCACAGTCAAGGTCACAAGGTCATTGACCATGGTGTCATTCGAAAGAACTTAATCAGTGGAGTATGCGTACTAAATATGAAGTCCCTATCTCCTATGGTTCAAAAGTTGTGGCAAAAAGTGTAAAGAGCTATTTTTAGCATATCCGTCACAGTCAAGGTCACAAGATCATTGACCTTGCCGTCGTTTGAAGGGACTTTATCGGTGGAGTATGCATACCAAATATGAAGTCCCTATCTCCTATGGTTCAAAAGTTATGACAAACAGTGGAAAAAGCTATTTTTAGAATATAGGTCACAGTCAAGGTCACAGTCATTGACCATGGTGTCATTTGAAAGAACTTAATCGGTGGAGTATGCATACCAAATATGAAGTCCTTATCTCTGATGGTTCAAAAGTTATGGCAAAAAGTGTAAAAAGCTATTTTTAGCATATAGGTCACAGTCAAGGTCACAAGATCATTGACCTTGATGTCATTTGAAAGGACTCTATTAGTGGAGTATACATACCAAATATGAAGTCCCTATCTCCTATGGTTCAAAAGTTATGACAAACAGTGGAAAAAGCTATTTTTAGCATATAAGTCTTAGTCAAGGTCACAAGGTCATTGACCTTGAAGTCATTTGAAAGGACTTTATTAGTGGAGTATGCTTACCAAATATGAAGTCTCTATCCCTTATTGTTCAAAAGTTATGGCCAAGGTTAAAGTTGACAAACAGATAAACAGACAAACAGACAAACAGACAGGACAAAAACAATATACGCCCGGGATCTATCGATCCGGGCGCTTAAAAAGTACCCTGCATATTTAAATGTAAATTGGTTGAAATTAGCCCAGTGGTTCTTCAGAAGTTAATGTGAAAAGTTTGCAGATAAACAGATGGACAACAGAAATCAGTATATTTCAGAAAACAGTATGCTTATAAATAGTTAATCAAGGTGCTTTGGGTAGCAAAATAAAGCTAAACTGGTATATCTAATTCATCCGCAGAGCTTAGTATATTTCAATATGCACAACCTTTTCAACTCTTATAATTATTTTTTAAAATTTATATCACCATGTCTCATTCAAGGGAGAACTAGAGATATGACCAGATGTATATCTGTTGAATATAAAATATGTACATGTATTCTGTGTTGTTTTTTAGTAATTTGTTTGTTTGTTGTGACAGCAACTGTTATGGCAGCTTTTGGCAAAGGTTGAAGTTTCTCAAATGTAAGTCAAACTCCAAGGTCAAGGTCAAAGGGTCTAAATTGTTGGTATCAAAGGGAAAGTCTTGTCACAAGGAATACACATGTGAAAAAAGGGAGAAATCCCTAGAACTTCCTCACCTGTTCAAAAGTTATTGCCAAGGTTAAAGTTAAATTGGATTCAACTCTAAGGTCTAGGTCAAAAATAATTATACCTGTTGAAAGTTCACAATGATTACACATGTAAGAGCATGAAAGTCCTAGCACCACCTGTTCAAAACTTAAGCCAAGTTCAAGGTATTTTTCTTGTAAAATTGGGTCAAACTCCAAGGTCAAGAGCTCAAGAGGTCAAAATTGGTGGTACCCATTAAAAGGTTTTGCCAAAAGAAATTTACCTATGAAATATTGAAGCCATGTGTATAGCCCAATCCACTTAAAAAATATGGGCAAGGTTAAAGTTTCCGTGGACAGACAAAAATACATAAACATAGGAAACAAAATATGTATAAATAGTCAATTGAAAAAATTTTCTACTATTATGGAGTCATAAGATCAATTGTCATTTCAGGTACAGGGAGTCAGTGGCTAGGGAGATCAGACCCCCCCCCCCCCTCCTGGAATTAGCAGTTATTCAAATAAGACTATATATGTACTGTAGAGAATAAAAATGACTTTGGACATCCTCCCCCTTAGAAAACAGGGACTCCACCATCATTGTTTTTATTACTATTTTTTATTTCCATCTCAGGAAATCTTGGGCTGATTTTTTTGACTGAGGTGTGACACCCCCCCCCCCCCCCCCCTTTCTGAAAAAAAAAAAAATTCTGGACCTGCGTCTGTTATATACTGAATGTCCGCAACGGGAGATAACTTGACAATGTGAAATTTGTCGACTGTGGCATGCGATGATCTTTGACCATGTTGACCCTTTTTGAACTTCAACCTAACCATTTGCATTTATTTATTTTTATGCAATCTATACTAAATCTTGTACTTACCAAATGTCATAGGTCGTGACAACGAATTCATGAAATATAATCCATATAATCCAATTAAAACACAAATGATTTTAACTGACCACACTGCATCGTCAGCATACATGTGCTAAATAATCTCATTCGACAAACCTTTGCTGATTCTGTTGCCAGTATGAATTGGCCGAGGTGTGCCGAGAGGTGATATCTATAAATATGATAATGGGTGATGCAAACCCAATGTGAATGTAGAAAATAAAACTGTTTAGTACAAGAACAACTTTCAAACTATCATAATAAACTAAACTATGTTTTTTAAAAAATGTGAGAGTGAGAGAGAGAGTGTGTGTGTGTGTGTGGGGGGGGGGGGGGGGGGAGAAAGGCATTGACAAATTAATCGGGTTGTATTTTCAATGGGTTTTTTTCCCGACCAAATACTAAAAGCAGTTTGCACATTTTGATAAATTCATCAAAAACGCTTTGTACTAAAGTAATATTTTATGTCGTTGAGAAAGTAAATTTAAAAAGTTCCAAATTCTGGGAAAATTATTTATTTGAATCTAATTAAGTAATTTACTTCAATCAGTAATTAAATTCTGTTATTTCAGACTGGTTATGAATTAAGTATTTTAAAATACATATGTGAGGCTCAGAGTTGATATGGTCATCTGAAAATTTTATGTTCAATTTGACGAATACATGTACGGTGATAATTATAGAATTATTTTGACTTCTTCCTTGGAAAGTCCAATATGAATGAGTGTATATTTAGAGGCAAACACCATAGTGCGGGTATTACTGTCTCATGACAGCATCTAGTTTGATAAATGGTGTTAACAAGATTTATAATGTATAATACATAATAATGAAAGAAACATTACCTTATTATTAAATGTTTATAAATAAAGGACCAATTAAAGTCGTGCCAATGTAACATGAGGTAAAAGGCCCAGAACCTGGTAACTAATAGAGCTAATTTTAAATGAATCTTTTCTCAGACAATGCCATATGACAATAATCTTGATTTATTCACAAGCAAGATTCTAAGACTTGACACTAGTCTTCTTGCTGAAAACAAACTACAAGTTCTCTCTTCTTACATCAATTTTATACAGTGAAACTTGGCTTATTCAACATGCAATGGGAGTGATGGGGGGGGGAGGGGGGGGGGGGGGAGTCTGTGTCAAATAGACAAGGTGTCAGACTGCATAGTGTCAAAAATATGGAAATAGGCAGTACATTCACCAGAAACTGGAATAATATATGTGTGTCAGAATTCACAGTAAAAAGGATTCCAAAGGTATGGGGTTAAACAGGTTTCACTGTAATTCACTTCAATTTTCTATAAATCTGCTATACTATTATCTTTTTTGGCTTTATCTATAGTTACAAGTATTCACCTTGCAAATAGTACATACAAAAGCATTGCGATTCAGCATGATGTGTTATGTAGCATTCGCTCATTGACATCAAGCATATATATATGCATTAACATTGCATAATATGAGGACCTTTACAAACAAATGGATATTTAAGCTCTTAAATCTCTTCAGTTGCTTACAAAAGCATATTCATGATATGCTAAAAAAACCAAACTTAAAACATTTTGTTAAGTCTGCAGTTAAAGCAGTATATGCAGCATAAGCAGTATAAGCATAGAATCACATACTGGTAGTAAGACACTTACTACTAAGCCCTGGTGCAGATGTAGAAGGCTCCAGCGTCCTTAACAAGGAAACTGTATCACAAAGAAAATCTGACACTCAGTTTGTTTTCCTTAATTCTCTCTCTCTCTCTATTTCTCTCTCTCTCTCTCATATTATTTTTGTATGCATCATGCCATTCTTAACAAAATTCTCAAAGAAGTGAAAGTACTGAAAACAATGTCCACTAAGCAGATTGAATATATTCATAATTCTTACTAAATTTATAAACTAAATCAATCTCTGCCCTCTACAAAAAAGTTAAGACAGTAAAGTGTGTTCAAGAGGAGGATTTCTATACTTTGTGATTCTCTATAGTCATCTCTGTAATGAAAATGTTAAAATTCATTCTTCTGCTATTGATTATAAACTTCTGATAGCTGCTTCCAAACTACCATGACAGAGCACGTTTTAAAAATTTAGAAGAATTCCAACAAATGATAAAAACTCCTGCCCAGTTTAATGAAAATAGCTGACGTGATAACCACTGGTGTTTATTCCTGCTGAATCTCAAATTATCGGAAATTCAAAACCAATGTAGATAATTTGATTTCCAGTATTGGGAAATGAAGAGCTAGAAATCATGAAAACACCCTCTATCTGTCAGCAAACAAGAGGATTAGAAAATACAAGAACTTGGTCTAGTGACAGATTGAAATAGCTGCTGTTAAATATTTAACTTCTAGGGCTACAATTCGTAATAGGATTTACGGATTCTTTGCCTGCCTCGTGCTCTTGACAGAAAAATCTATATATCCACATACCAATGAAAAGAAGAAAATGTCCGAACAGTTACAGCAGCCAGTTTGATCAATATGCTAAAAAAATTTTAATTTAGCTTCTGCTGAGCAAGTTTTCGGGGTTAATGTTAGGTCAAATGGTTCATTAAGCTGTTCAAGTCTGTCCAATAACTAGAGTCTTGTTCAGGTCAAGTCTAAAGTCAACATATTCAGAGAATATAATGGGACTTTGTGTGCAGTTTTTACTTCAAATACAACTTAGTCCTCCAATTGGCACTCTTGTAATTCTAAAGAATAACTATAACCATACAAGTATGTTTTAAAATTCTCACTAAGAAACAGTCCTACTTATTACGATTGACTCATATAATGTAGTATGTAAGACATTAATTACAAATTATAAAAAAAATTCAATGATTCATATTTGTTGTCAGAATTCAGATTTCCAATAGAAAAGGGAATTCAAGTGATGACTGTTCTAAAAAGTAGGTCAAACTGATTTTTAACAAATTCTAAAGCACCCACCTCTTCTATGGACTGGTGTTGTAGACTTCAGCTTTCCCACGAAGCACTTCTCCAACATTGATTCATAATTTACCCATTTATGAACCTACAAGAATACAGTCTTTCTTTTATGACTGCATATTTTATCAAATTTTCTAATCTGGTAAGGAATTCCAGTTTGTAAATGCTAGCTGACAAATGATATACCTCATATTTATTTTGAAATATAGGACACAAATACATATCAGCATTATGAGAAAATCAACAATAAAAAAAATTATTTGCTCCAGTTAAGTTACCCTGACACCCAAAAATTCTCTCATTATTTAATGTTCTGTATAATAGCCCCAAATGTTACAAGCTAAAAGATTTAGATTAATCCAATCTTTATTGAAGAAATGGATAATGGGGGAAAAATTTATTAACTTTTTACTTAAATTTCACTGTAAATCTGTTGCAATATCATGCTCCACACAGGAATTTATTGTAATATCTTATAATTTTGACAAAGTCATAACATGATCGTGATCCCTCTCTCAGTCTCTGTTTTTGCTGGAATTCATATTTCAATAAGAAAATAATTCTTCCCCTGATTATGATAAATTTGCCGAAAAAAAACCCCAATATATTTGTTATCAAAATCCCTATATAATCCGGTTATCAAATAAAGCAATTTTTTGTCAGCAGAAATAGTGCTGTAATCTTACAAACTGGTAGGAGAAAAAAAAATCCATTTTCATTTCTTCCTTATAAAATCCTTTAAAATTTACCTTTTGATTTACAATGTACCCTGAAAATTAAGCTCTGGAAGAAAACAATTCACTTTAGGAAAAATACTGCATTTGTTACACTTGAAAATTGTATCAATTTAGTTAAATGATTATATAAAATCTTACCTCATCAAACAGTTGAGTTCCGTCAATCCCTGCCCCCCTCATCAATTCGTCATCTCCCCCCGGGTGATACTCCATGTAAGGGGTGATATTGTACACTTTGCCTGAAAGAGTAAATGAAAGAGTACTTAAATTTTAATTTACCAAATGTAATGCCTTGACTGAAAAAGAAATAACAAACTGAAAGGACCCCCCCCCCCCCCAATTAAATGAAATGTAGTTAATGTACTTTGTTTACCTTGCTTGAAAAAGTATAATGACAATGTATTTTAAAAATTCTGAATAAAGTTAGATGAGAGTAACAGAATATGATCAATTAATTAAGTCTGTAAATATTTTTTTTTTCATGTGCCATAAATGCACTTTCTTCATATTCTCATCTTTAATGCAATTAATGCACAGTTGGACGGATTTCATTACAATGACGTACAATATTTGCCTCTTGTAAAAGATTAAAGTGCTCTTGGGAAGGAAATTATTAAAGAATAAATGAAGGTTATCAGAGAAATCGTTAATGAATATAACAATCTGCTCCATCTTTCTGCAGATATTAATCATAGTGCAATTTTGAGCTTTTGTGTTTCTTTCTGCTACATTCTGCTGAAAGAAAATTTACAGCTGTATCAAATTTGTATTTTCTCTGATGTTATTTTTAATGCCAATTGAATATCTTTGAAATACTGCATGCTAGAGTTTGTCTGTGTTCTCTATATGAACATGATGAAAGACATGCTCAATGACTACAACCATTGGCAGCTTTTACATTATGAGACAAGATCAGTTCTTTTACCAGAATAGAACTGAAAGAAAATTGAAATTGTCTTATTCTCATGGGCAAAAAAATCTTTGAAAATCAAATTATGTACGGTACCATTGTTTGTCCAGACAATTCTCCAGACTAAAAATAAATTGTCATAACCAGGCTAGGTCTCACTTGGCCTGGTTATATTTCAATTGAGAAAAATACAGGAATATGAGGCTTATAGAATTTCAGAGATATTCCTTTTCCAAAAACAGCCAAAATTTGGTATTTAGAGTATTAATACATGTACATACATCTCAAATACCATGGATGTGTCAAAGTAAGTTGGAAGTTCCAACATCTGTTTCTTTTACATATCTTATCCTCTATATCTCAAATCCTTGGTCTTATCCAATTTCTGATAACAAGGATTGACTGTATGTACATAATGTTTGAAGTTTGAGGAAATTTCCTTGAAAATGAGTTCATAACCCCAAAATTGAACATGGTTGGTAATTAAACTTAATTAATTGTTATTTGAAAATGCTTTTTCTTTCATGTAGTCAAATTTATATAAAGCCTACTTTCAACATTTTGCTTTTGCCTACGTTCCCAATTTCAGAATAAACAAGACCAAAGTGCATTATCTGGCAATTAATCCTAAAAAAGCTAAAAAATTCCATATAGAAATTAAATTATTCCACCACTCCTTAAGCCTTTTAACTTCCTTTTAGATTTCTCTTTCTCTGGTTTCTTTTTATACATGTAAGTCCATTTATCTTTGAAACAAGCTTAAAGCAGATGTTGCGAAAATATAATTTACCAAAGCTTTTCCTTTTTTACTTAAGCTATATTTCAATGCCAGACATGTCCTTTTTTTCTAACTTACTATTCTTTCCAGGGAGAAACAACATGCTGTGATTTGGCCTCAAGAAAGGGTCTCGGAAAGAAAGACACAATCATGACAATAGTTAGCTGGAGAAAAATAGCCAAAAGCCAGGAGAAAGGAAGTCATTGTGATTAAGAACCTTAGCACACAAATAAGTTGGCACCTTCTAGACAGCTAATCAATACTGGAGGCTTTTACTTTTAAGCAAGAAGTCCAAAATCACAAGGATACTGGGGTTGTAAACTCTCAGATATATCTCATGGATGAACATCTCTTGATTAAAGGCTTTTACTAGAGTCAGCTACATTTCTCCTAAAACCAATGTTTTCTCATAAAGTCGGTGGCACTTGGTGACATTTGCTCAAGAGCTTGATTCTGTTAAGGTCAGCAGCATTTCTCCTAGACAGTTTTTTCTTTAAGTAAAGTTAGCAGCATTAGGCAAAACATGATCCAGAAGTGTTTTCTGTGAAGGTAGCAACATTTAAGACCATATTCCTGATAAAGTCAGTATTTTCAGTAATCACTCACCTGGATTTGTAAGCCAGATTCAGCCTGGTATTGAGCATATTTTGACACATCATTCATGCAAGTTGAGTTATCAAAGGGCTTATACTTGAATGTACATAGTCCAAAACTGTAATTTGCTAAGGTATGTTAGATTCAGCATTTGAACCAAGTCTGGTAATATCTGAACTCCTAAATGCATCATCTGTGCATGACATACTGTAGATTCCTTATTTTTCGCGAGTACTTTTTATCGCGAACTGGCTCTTAAACGTCAAATCGCGAGAATTATAATTCGCGAATGGACGGTCGATCAATAGATTTTACATAGATTTCAGCACTATAAAAATAAAAGTGAGTAATAATTTTTCGCGAGTCAGATGCTTCTCATGAAATTACGTGGAAATTAATTCCTCGCGTTTAATTAGGAATCTACAGTACCCTTCTTCTTAAGATGCATAAACTGACAAGTTTAATGGTCCTAGGCATCACAAAGTGTACAAAATGTGAATAAAAAAAACAAATTGAATGTGTATGGCTTTAAAATTCTAAATTAGGCCACATTGCATGAAAGACATATACCGGTATCCCCTTCTCCAAAGATGGATCACCAACTTACAAGTTTTGATAGTCCTACACCTTAGTGTTGCAAGACTTGGACTGAAAAAAAAAAACCTATCAGATGGACAGACAGACGATGATGGGGAAAATCTATGGAGAAAAAGCCAAAAACCTTTCTTTTTACAAGTACATCAGTATTTATAAATTTGGTCAAAATAAATATGTCATAAACACATAACATATTGCTTAAAAATAACTCCTACCTAGTAATTAAATCTTAATAATACAAATTACTTTATATTAGTACCTGTGAGAATGATGTTATCACATTTGTCAAAAAACAAATAATATACTATTTCTATGAACTTTTGTTGTATGTATATTGTATAAAAATGATTAAAAAAATTTAAGAACATTAAATGATCTATTTTTAAAATGTTAAACTAATTATCACATTAAATGCATATTAGATAATTATAAAAATATCGATTTCACTGTGTTGTTATTTTACGTGACATACAATATTATTGTTTTTCATATATATTGAGTTACTAAAAATGAGATTATGTAAAAACCCAGATTTTGTTTTGCTCAATAAAGTCAAGGTGAATATGATTAAAAAACATGCAAATTCAACAATAATGACTAAAAGTTGCTTGTCTCTTATTTTTTTCAAAAGAAAATAATACAATAGGGATGTGCGATTTTATCGATATACCGGTATATCGTGATTTTTTGTTGCTTGATACGTATCGTGATACGGAGACCTAAATACCTGTCTTTAGGTACATATTATAAAGTCCAGAAATTTTTCATTTTTTTGTTCAATCTTTCAAATTACAATTATAGAAGTATAAAAAATGTTGTAAAAAGTGAAAAGAACGGCATCTTACCGTCCAAACATAAATAATTTTATATACATAAAAATTTCAAGAAAGTAAAATTTTGTTTTTCTAGCATATTTTTTGTAGAAAAATAATGACTTTTCATATAAAATCATAGTAAAAACTGCTTTTAAAAATATCATGATATCGTGATATTACGGGAGAAAATTGTGATATATCGCGATACGAAATTATTTTTGGCTATACCCATCCCTATAATATAATATAGAAACTGTTGCCCTTTTATAATTATGTCAAAGCATGAAAATATCCAGTTTAAAGAAAAACATATCGACTGAGCACTAAGTATGAGGTTGATATGCTTTTCTATGAAGTCACTATTTCTACAGATGAACCTTAAAGTAAAACGGCTATTCGTATATATTCACACTATCATGCAAACATACATGTACTTTCAGTCTTAAACTAACCAAAAATATTGATGTCAGAACAATTTGTGTATCACATTGATTAAGGAGTTCTTAAGGTAGGATTCTTCTCTGGTTTCTGACTAGATGGAATATTCAGAATACATTTGTTGATATGTCTTAAATATTTAGATGTAGGAGATTTAAAAGACCATATTTTTTTCCTCATCACAATTACCGGTATACAACTTTAAATAGAAATGGTAAACTGCGTTTGAAAACTAGCAGGGACTATATTTTTGGCGGAATGGTGGCGTATGAAAATATCATCTTTTCTGCCTCTCAAAATTATTTTAGAACATTGAATTTAGTTATAATTTTTACGCAATCAAAGACTAGATGAAATTTTCAAATGTAAGTTACATTAATAATAAGGGAATAAAGTTTCAAAATATATCAAATAAATAAGATTTTTCACACATACTGTAAACCAACTTTTATTCGAGTGCGAGAAATTTTCGCGAAGTTCACGAGAGCCTCGTCATCGTGAATATTTCTCGCCGCGAACCGGTCCTTATAGTATATTTGTTTATTAAAACAGATGCAAAAAGGCTTGAGTGCGAAAATTAATAGTCGCGAACTACTTTATCACTGGTAAATCGCAAAATAAAATCGTCGCAAATAAAAGTTGGTTTACAGTACTTGAACTATGTTGGCTTCTAAATGCTTCAATTCTAAGTGCAGATTGGAGCCAAAAATCCGTAAAAAGTGTTATTTCTCTCTTAGTAAACGATCAAAACTTTTAGTTTTTGTATCATTTTGTACCTTTATGTGATAACTTTACTATATGTGAAAATTGGAAAAAGTGAAATATAGGAAGCATAAAAAACAAGAGGCCCAGGGGCCACAGCGCTCACCTGAGCACATCAGGCTTGAATTTACTCCACCCCGCCCCCCCTCCAGGCGTTCATCATTTGAACAAACTAGAATCTACACTACCTGAGGATGATTCCATATAAAAATCACTAATCATAGCTTTGAAGTACTTGAAAAGAAGATTTTAAAAGGTTTCCCTATATATCCCTATGTAAAACTTGGGTCGGCCATTTTGGCCCCACCCTAGCCCCGGGGGTCATGATTTGAACAAACTTGAATCTACACTACCTGAGGATGATTCCACATGAGTTTCATCTTTCCTGGCCCAGTGGTTCTGGAGAAGAAGATTTTTAAAGATTTTTCCTATATATTCCTATGTAAAACTTGGGTCGGCCATTTTGGCCCCACCTTTGCCCCGGGGGTCATGATTTGAACAAACTTGAATCTACACTACCTGAGGATGATTCCACATGAGTTTCATCTTTCCTGGCCCTGTGGTTCTGGAGGAGATGATTTTTAAAGATTTTTCCTATATATTCCTATGTAAAACTTGGGTCGGCCATTTTGGCCCCACCCTAGCCCCGGGGGTCATGATTTGAACAAACTTGAATCTACACTACCTGAGGATGATTCCACATGAGTTTCATCTTTCCTGGCCCAGTGGTTCTGGAGAAGAAGATTTTTAAAGATTTTTCCTATATATTCCTATGTAAAACTTGGGTCGGCCATTTTGGCCCCACCCTTGCCCCGGGGGTCATGATTTGAACAAATTTGAATCTACACTACCTGAGGATGCTTCCACATGAGTTTCATCTTTCCTGGCCCAGCGGTTCTGGAGAAGAAGATTTTTTAAAAATGCCATTAATTTTTAACAAATTCATGATTATCTCCCCTTGGAAAAGGGCGTGGCCCTTCATTTGAACTTGAATCCCCTTCACCCAAGGATACTTTGTGCCAAGTTTGGTTGAAATTGGCCCAGTGGTTCTTGAGAAGAAGATGAAAATGTGAAAAGTTTACAACGACGACAACAACAACGACGACGACAACGACAAAGACAGACGACAGACAAATTTTGATCAGAAAAGCTCACTTGAGCCTTCGGCTCAGGTGAGCTAATAACTAATAAATCCTAAAAATTTAAGAAAAGTAGAGGAAATTCGGATTAGCAAATATCCATTTTAGTTAAATTATCCATGTCAATTTGGTAATATCATCTTATAGGCCCTATATGGTAGTATCTTTTTATGCAAAAAGAAAAACATTCAATGTTTTGAACTACAAGTAGGGATCACATGATTGGAGACAGTAATTTTTTATTCTTAATGTCCAGGAAAAAAGTAATGACCTTGACCTGACCTTGCCTCTAATATTAAACGGTCAAATCTAATCTCACTGATACCATCACTTCGTGATATTGTCCTCTTGATTCTGTGAAAATTTCAATAATTTTTGAATAAAAGAAATGTGAGAAGAATCCTACCTTAACTTTCTCATTATCATTATAAAACTCATGGATTGTTACAATTGAGAAATTCTGCCACTGAATATAGAAATCATAATTTATAAAATATGTATGTTATTTTTTTTTTCAGAACAAAAAGCTTATACATTGGGCCTAGTTGATTTACTAATGCAGAACTGACAGTAAAGAAATTTTAGTTTTTTAATAGCAACAAAAACTAAATGGTCAATAGAACTTAATTGTGTGCTTTATAAATTAAACCCTTTAAAATTATCAAATATTTAATTTGACCGATCCTTGACCATCAAGTCACCAAGTCAAGACATCACATTTTACTAACCCTGGGATTTAAGGCCACACTACTTTCTTTGAGTCTAAAAATTATTTTTAATTCTTTTAGATTGAAAATGAATGTCGACTTCAAATGAATTCCTAATTCAAGCTGTCCTTATCAGATGCAATGATGAGAACAAATTCTGCTCACATTACCTTGAATAAATGTCAGTAAAGAACACTGCATTAGCCAGAGATTCTCTCTTGGGGAAAATGTCACTTGATGCTACTTTCTTACCAAACTGCTGAGTACTGAACAAACATCTCTAATGAAATACCATCGACCTTTTTTCTAATATGTTGCTCACGTTCAAACAAAATGATGTTATTCAACTTTCTGCCTACTTGGTATTTTGATAGAATTAAAATGTATAGGTTAACATTTTTGAGAGACATCTTAATACTCAAGGGTAAGGTTTAATGTGAATATAATGACAAGATTCCACCCCAAACTATGCAATCAAAGAGGACTGGGATTTTAAATATATTTTTCATGTATATTGACACCTGAGAATTTCTTTGAATGATGTGTAGATTTCAAATTGAATTTGTACACATTGTCATTATAGCTCTCTACAACTCTAGAGTGGCATCTTTGTGCACCTTGCTTAAATTCCCTCTCTAAAACTTAAAATATATTTTTTAAATCACCTCTTAAGGCAATCCAGGCATCATTTCTTCTATTATGCTTAGCCAACTCTTCTGCGTCCACCTCCAAAATTTTACCGCCCACCCCTGTTAGATCCTCCCTGCTCCTTCCCAGTCGGATCCAGTCCATCAGTGAGCGCCCTGGCTTGAGAGCCACCTTGTTCCGAGTGTCAGAGAGCCTCTGCTGGGAGTTGGGGGCCGGAAAGCTGGGCTGCAGGAAGTCCTTGCCAGCCATTTTGTATTCTACTGAGCTACTACTAGGTGTTGGGGATCCCTTTTTGGACTTTTCTTGAGACTTGGATGAACTGAAATTGAAAAAAAAAACAAAATTTATCATCAATTCACTTTTTACTGTATAATGTATTATAATTTATAAGTATTACAGGTAAGTAAAAAAGTCTGAAAATACCACATGGTAATTTTATTAAAAATTTTTGCATTATTCAGCCCATAAAAATAAGGCAGTTCAAAAATTCACAGCAAAATTAATATTTGTTTGAAACATGCCAGCAGTTTGTTAATTTTCATGTGTCAATAATAAGCAACAGAAGAAGAGAAGAATTACAACAAAATTTGTGTCACCAACAAATAGTCTACCGAAAAACACAAAAAGGCTATCTATGTAAAGCATCTGTTAATTAAGTTTTATACCATATTCTGAATAAACATCCCAGAAAACATCCACTAGATTTCTGAGCCATTTTGTATCAGGTACATGCACACACAGTCTATTGTGAATCCAAGTACCGAAAAAATGTCTTAGTGTTGAGTTGGTAATTACCAACAGGAAATGCACCGTATTTCAATGTTAAGTCACAAACTGCACAGAGTTAAGTAGAACACATGACACAATCTTCAGCAACCTTGCACAAACTCAAAATATACTAGCTTGGTCTTTGAAAGTTCTTTAATGTTTGTAAGTCTACAGGTTCACCTTTGATCTGTTTGACATATGGTAGTTTTGAAAAGCCTGGCTCCCAAAAGGTTTTAAAAAATTACAATTAGTGTTATAGATCTTTGCTAATCTAGTTGTTTAGCAAAAGATTCTTTTAAACAGAATCTATATCAATAACATGTTAGTTTGACTTTTTACTCTAAGCTGACATTTCCACCAGATCCAGTAGGATTCAAGAACTTGATCTGGCTGATAATAAGAAAGTTATCAATTAGAAATCACAACTTTGGACTAGATTATCAGATCATTCCAACATCCCACTACCAATTTCACCTTTCAGAATCTTCCAATGATGAAAAAAAAAATTAAAATTCACAATGCAACTTTTTAAAAATCCAAGAGCAACGAAATTTTCCAAAAGAATACAATTTCTGTACATAACAGGCACATCATCTGACATTAAAGAATCAAACATTGAACTCTTCTCTTCTTATTGGTTCTCTCTTTTATCCATTCATAACCTAGCTCAGACGACAACGTAACAGAAAAACCCAGCAATGTCTGACGTATTTAACGCAAAGATGTCATTGTAGCACAAACTCATACATTGAGTACCGGGGTACGTATAAGCAAACAATCTATTCATAGCAGCATGGTCAATATCGTCATTAAGATATTGATTATAAAATACCGCAGACATATTATCACGTATATTTCCACATCTCTGCACCCATCAGGTGATAATGCAACGTTATTTTGGTCAACATCTCTTCCTGATGGCAAAATATGCCATCGTATACATATTTCCCATGGAGATAAAATTAAATTCGCTGCCTCTATATGTACACTCACAGCAATATGTACAGAGCCAGATCAAGGTACACACATTGATTTTTTAAGTAAATTACAGGCAATTAAAGACTGTATGAAGCTAGTTTAATCAATAAATGTCCACAAATTCCATTTCGATATGAATTACAGACAGGAATGATAATCCTGTATTATATCGATTTTTTCCCCTTTGGCTAAAGATGAAAGTTCAATGTATTTGTACCGTTATGTTTGTACAATATCTAACTAATATTATGATTACATAGCGGTAGATTTTAATCTGTTGTACACCAAGGTTATTTTTGCATGGTGCTATATATATTTTTCATCTATTTCTGAGATATGAATTTTTGAATTGAAAAGTGCATATTGACATAGAGACGGATAGACATCCTGATCACTATATGATTTATATACCCTCCCACTTTTCAAAGGGGGGGAGAGAGATAAATAAAAGCATGTTTTTTAACTTAGTAAAACCAGTAGGGGCACGATGTAAACAAACTGTAGTGGCATACGTCTCTCTAATATGTACAGGTGAAGTAGTTTTGAATGGAATAGTTACTTTACATTTTCCCCAATTTTTCCTATTGTAAACCAGATAAACTAGAGGTACTGTGAGCAAGCTGACTAAATGATTATACCCGCCCCCCTCTCCAATATGATTAAAATGGCAATGTTCATGTTTTGCTAAGGGACACCCGAAATAAGTGTCAAATGAAAAAAGGAAAATAGGAGGTGCACAATGGCATAATGTAATAAAAAATCTGTGAAAGTATCGTCATATTTTATTCAGTAGTAAAGGACGAAAAGCAGATAAGAGATGGATACCCAAAATATGTGTTGGATCAAAAGTAAAAATAAGAGTTGTAAAATATGGCACTATGTAACATAATCAGAGATTCCTACGGCTCTAACCCCTGCACAAGTCACAATATGAAAAGCAGGGGTTAGAGTCAGAGGAATCTCGGATTATATGTAACACTGAGGTTCTGTGAAAGTCTCATCGAATTCATTCAGTTGTAGAGATGGATACCCAAAAGCATAACAGACAGACAGACACACGGACCAATGGCGTGAAGCGACAATCAAAATAAAAAGGATCTAGTGAAGGTTTGATTTTAATCAGACTGATAATTTAAGCACAAAAATGGACCTTTTTATCCATTTGATTCCTAGGTATAAACTATAAAGGTCATGATATGCAGCATCTGATAACCTCCCTAGTCAAATAATGAAATTTGCCTCCAGGTAAAATACAAGATATACATATTCCAAAATATTGCAACTTTAAATTGGGCCACCAGCTAGGTTTAACTTTTGGAGAGGAGTTGGATCCTCCCAAACATTTCAAATGTCCTTAAAATTCTAAGAAAGTTTATACATGTACAAACCTCTTTTTTTCATTTTGTTTAATATGTACATGTATAACAAAAAGGTAAAATTAAATCAAGTATTAGAATTAATATGCACATAATGCAACCAACCCTCCCTCCTTTTACCGACTTTAATGTAACATTGATCAATTTTAAACATGTACTACAAATATAATCATTTAGTACAACTTTTGAGCTTGCAAACACATTTAATCTAATTCTCTTAAAAATCTATGATATCAAAGATAGTGCTACAATTTGATTCAATTTAAATTCAACTTTTCATCTGCATAAATCTTGGTAACACGAGACCTTCATTGCGGGCATAAATAGATAAAGTTTCAGAATTCAGACACACTGTATTACTACAATATTACAAGCTACTTCTATAAAGTGTGGCACTCACAAATAGATAGGATGACATCCATATCACACATTACTAAACATCTGCTACTTAGAGTGCCAATATGATGGACTGAATTTACATTTCACCGGAGGACAGCTTTAACATTTCCACTATCCCTGTACATGATATCAAAACATTTTAGATAAATTGTGAGCACTTAGTTACTATGCTTACGAAATATGAAAAGCATATGGGTGAAGGTAGAGCGAAATTTTAATGTTTGCCTAATTTTAAGTTCACAACTTCACAGCGAGATATTTTAATGATAAAAAAAAATTGTAATGATGTATTTCACCAAAAAATAATATGATCAGTTTCCCAAAATTAACATTTATCAGGCATTTGTGATTGCCATGTACCGGTATTAAAAAAACAACCTGAAGATGTTGTTCTACCAGCATACATCATTATACTGAACAAATGTATGTCAAGGTGTTGTGCCAACTTTTCCTGCTTGCAAGATTCTTTGATAAAAAGCATCGTAATTAGAGAAAAACCGAACTATACAAATTCTCTGTTCTGTTTGTAAATAAGTCATTCTCCTGCACAGTGATACATACCGGCTAACAACGATGAACAAAGCACAGAGAAATATACTATCGCCAACTACCTGGTTTAAAACATAATAAAGTCCCAAAAGAATGTAAAAAAGGGGAAAAAATTAACATGAATTTATAGGAATAGTTTGTTAATGTACCTAAATGAACTCTAAGTAGTAACAGGCATTAAGTGGGAGAAAAAAAATGCTCGAGAATGACTCTACTCTAGTGGGGGAAAAATTGGCATGCATACAGTGAGAAAAAATGAGATCAAACATTTAATAACGATGGCCTACCTTGTACATCCCATGATGCTGTGGGGGAAAAAGAAATTAAATAACAATCGTATCTAAGTTAAATCAATTCTTGAATTACAGATATCACTCTCCATGGGGAAAAAACTATAAATACAGCAAAGAAATCGGTAAATATATTCCCAGTTCGTTCGCGGGGTCTTAGAAGTATTATCCAATACAGCTGACTAGGACTTGCAGTGGGAAAAACATGGAAATACTTGGTAACACATCCAAACCATTCAGTTCCACATGTAAATGCTATCTAGGTGCTTGAAGGGGCAGGTGTTATGCCGATTGTAGGGTCATTATAGAAACCAAGGAATGATATTATATTTGTTCTGAATGTAGCTCTGTATTTGAGATGGCACACAGTTATAGCTCCTTAAGATCAACCTGTGGTTGAAAAAAATATGATGCAAGTGCTTTAATTGTCATTCAATCACTTTAATCTTTTCTTGGCAAATTATATTGCCAAAAGATGAATTTAACTTGCATAAGGTGAGGATACGAAAAGTTTACGAGAGGGAGTCATGCAATAAAGATTACTGGTGTTGCATGATTTCCTATAATCGTGTATGCCAGATTCCTTGGTATGCGAAATGTCAAACAAAAAAATGGGAAGAATAAATTGATTTAACCTTATAATGATACAATATTGACACACCTTTGCTTATATTCCTGGCTATTGCAATGGAAAAAGCTTCAGTACTATTTTCATTATTAAGGAATGTACCATATTGCTTGTTAAAAATTCCTGATCATCATAATAGTGTTGGCACATTCAAATTCAGTTTAACAGTTAATTCAAAGTTATATTTCATTTTTTAAGCCTTGATCCAACCACAAGTCATCAATTACACTTTCTGCAAATAAAAAAAAAATCCATGGAAATCCATCAAATACAATTAAATCCAAAGAAAAACTAATATCCTTCCAGCAATATCAAACAATCTCACACAACACCATGTAAAATCTGCTCCAGGGTGAATATCTCGTCCACTCTGGCAGACCTATCAGCAGCAGCGTCCAAAAAATCCGGCAAACAATGGATGATTTTGTAGCAGATTATATAACCTGATTGTGTCTAGAGAGACCACCATGTCGAAATTAAATCAGGAATTGTCGGAAAAGCATGACTTATCAGATTCTGTATCAATATAACGCTGCCCAATCGTCAAGCATATTGATTAGACATCAGAATAGGAGTTGGAATCAGATGCATGTTTTTGACACTCCGTTGAGGTATATACCAGTCCAAATAACGGTTCAATAATTGCCACTAAAATGTGCTTTTCTCATCAATAACACTTGTGCATTTCTATTTCACAGGTTTCAATCCACCAGACCAGTTTCCACTGACTGTAACCTTCTCCACCTTTATCCGATAATTCAATTGGAGTTGTTCTGTATGTGACAATGCAAGATACAAAAATAGAAGCCGAGTGGAGTTTCCAGCTTCAGGTACAATAGAGAATGATTGGACCAATGAAAAGGAATATAAAACTGAATAACTCAAAATGTCAATACGTTAAACTGACAGATCAGAATATTAATGATTATATTCATAATGGATGAGACATGAAATGTGTAGGATTCACACATATACTCTTATTATATACTGTTTCTTATTATGCCAACTTTCAAATGATGAATTTGGTTCAAAGGTGTTTCACAATTTTGAAAAAAAAATAACTTACA